AACTACAATCCCCATCATCCCTTGCGGTCTGTTGTCGCTACAGATCCAGTAATGCGGAAATGGAGTGTGCTGCTAGAAGCGGGGATCAAAAAGAGCTGTAAAACTCTAAGGCCCCTTTTACAAGAGTGCGTTTTAGTTTTAAAACGGCGTTGTAGAATGAAAATGATCCGCGTCCACACTCGCGTTTTACCCAGCGTTTCTGAACAGCTCTCCGTCCACACCAAAACGCTGAAAACGCACATCACGTGACCACAGACACTCTCGGGCAAGCGCTCCAGCATTTCTACCCAGATGAGAGCTCTGCTTGTCGGACTGCTCATCAAGCATCTTCCGCTGGATCTAATCTCACTATATTTGCTAAACGAGATATTTCATTCATGTTGTTGTCTTTATCTAACGACATAGGCCAATTCCCTGACTTTGGTCACTGGAATCTATTAAGTTACTTGTTCACGGGTAACATGTTTTGGTTAAGCGCAAAGATAAGTTAATGATTAATCCAGGTACATTGACTGATCGCTTGCCTTTATTTCCTACAATGTATAAACTTATTGTATGTGATACTTTTATAATTGTCGATTATTAAAACTGATATTCAACAAAAGTGAGGGTGCGTTTCGTATTTTCACTGAAATTGAAAGGAGGTAGTTGTTATAGGCTCCGTTTTGTTATAAATATCCTCACAGTGAAGATGACGCTCATATATGCAGCACGGCGCCTCAACATTTCTGCTGTCTGTAAGTTTTCTAATATTAAAAAGGAAATAGGCAGTTCCTTAAATCATGTTTACATTTTATTGTTGAGAAAGTGAAACAACGTAGCCAAGGTGATGTGAATGAAGTTATAAAGTACACTGTTCCCTTTGAAGATTTACGCGTGTCCTCGGTATGTTTTCCATATCAAACTGAGAAGGGGGAGACTGCAGCCTTGATCAAACTTGCGAAGTCTTAACTTACAAGAAGAGGATGCGAGACTGAACTGTGTGTGGGCTACTTAATATTGAGGAAAAGCCCCAATCAGATAGGCGAACGTTTGCAGCCCCGCCTCCGTTTTCAGATGTCTCCGTCTTTCCCCATCCACACTGAGACGGAGCAGCAGGTTTCAGAATGAAAACGGCCTCTCCAGCGTTTTCAAAAAGCTCCGTTTTCGGCGCTCGAGAAATAAGTCATATAAGTCATATCTCTCTTGTCCCAGAAACCTCAGTACCAAATGAGAGGTTTTTTTTCTGTTGCAGGGGACATTGTAAATGCCCAGAGATACCAGCTTTTACCAGATTATATTTATATGATAATTTTCCTTTAAACCCATCTCTATCTAAGTGAGTGAGTGATTAAATGTTGAATGTGATGAGTTTTCAACAATACTAAATTAAAAACTTAAATTTTTTTTTACATGGTTTAATATTTTTTTTGTTAATAAAATTGAAGTTCCTGTTTCAAAGCTTACAGATAGATGGCTAATTTGTATGTCATTGACACTTTTGGCTCTTTTTTGGAGTATTTTCATAAGTTTTGTTTTTTCCTGTAAATGATTCAATAAATACCGTACCGTGACATTCATACCGAGGTATTACCGTACCGTGAAATTCTGATACCGTTACATCCCTAATATATATATATATATATATATATATATATATATATATATATATATAGCTTCATATTGGGATGCTTTCTGTTTCTTTTTTTTTTTTTTGAGCAACGAAAAAAAATATTATCATAGATATTTTACCCATGATTTACAGAACTGAAGTTAAAACCACTTTACTGGAACAAGCTCTGGTCTCTGTGTGTACAGTCAGAGATGATGTTAGCTTTAGCTATGAAATTACAACACAAAGCATCAGCATTGACCCATTTTTTAGAAACAGACTTTCAGTGGTAAGACAATTTGGTGTAAATGTTTTGTGCAAATTTACTTTGCCTACTTTCTTTGGCACATTTCCTTCAAAAATTAAATTCAACCACAAAGTCCTCAGAGGCTCAGATGTTAGAAGTCTATGGATACTTTTAGGGTGCTTTCACAGCTCTGGTTCGGTTTATAAATGCTATACATGGCTTATAAATGGCTACAGTGTAGGATTTTCAGCCATTTTGGTTTCTTTTCAAAGCACACTGATTGCTCTGGTCCAAACTAGCTACAACAAGTCAAAATACAGTAATTCGACAACATCCACATCACTCGTTGACCAGATGTCCCATTGATTTCCTAAACTGCTTTTCAATTGATCAGAATTAACATGTGTTAATATTTCTATGAAAATCTGGCAGACAACAAGATGCTTGTTAGTATGGAGTGACGAGTGCTCTAACTTAATTGTATCCCTGGTCATCATATGTTTTATAGTTTATATGTGTCACGTCAGACAACCTATACATTTAGAGAATGTTTAGAAAAAGAACGTTTAAAAAATGAGTACACTGCAATTGCCGAAGGGGCATTCACTTGTTTTCAAGCTACCATGTGGCTAAGTTGCTAAAGCTTAGTAAACAAATACTTGACCTTATAGAGTGGAGGAACTATGACGTCAATTTGTATGCAAAAACCCAGAAGCGAGTTAGCATTTTAGCAGTTCCGGTTCACTCGTCTCAAAAGCAATGGGTTTTTTCAATGGGGTTTTAGTTAAATCGCTTAAATAGGGTTCGTGGCTAACACAAATTCAATATACTGTCCCATTTTATTCTATGACATAAAACACATCAGTTACATTACACTCTTGATTTTTTAAATCGGTTATGCTTCTTTAAAAAGATGTATCAAGTTGCTAAATGGGACTACAGGCGGTGTCAGAAATATTATATGTCATTGAGCTAAACTGGTCTGGATTGCTGCTCGCTTACGTTGGGTATTTGGATTTATCTGTTATTTAATTATTTTCGTGAATAGTATTTTATAGTTTGTTGTGTTTTTCTAATTAGGAATTCATATTGTGTGTAGTTAATTCCTTCACTTGTAAAGGCTGTGGAGACTAATTTGTTGATCATTTATTTTAATTAAACAATATTATGAAGATACTGCTTACGTTCGATTAAAAAAAAATACAGACTGTGGCATGCATTTTTTTACAGAAATATTCTGTAGATTGAATTTATGAATGTAAAATGTTAAACAGTAGACTACTGGCAACCACAGCTGCTGGTATATAAAAAAAAATAATAATCAAAACGTGTTTTGTGTTACCATTGTGGAGGATAGTAGCGTCTGTGTTCAAGTCCAAGATGGACTGAGTGCATCTGATGTTATGCTGCATCTTCTTTTGTTTAAAGGTAACTATGTAGTTACTTTCCATGATGACCGTAAATAATATTTTATTAGATATTTTTCAAGACACTTCTACACAACTTTAAGTGACATTTAAAGGCTTAACTAGGTTAATTGGGTTAACTAGGCAAGTTAGGGTAATTAGCTTTAAAAAATATAGCTTAAAGGAGCTAATAATTTTGACCATAAAATGTTTTATTCATCTGAACGCATTTAACTCGGTCAGAACTGCAATATTTACACTTCTCCATAAAATGTAAAGCATATGTGACCTGTATGAGCTGCTTTTCGCTGTAACATTACTTTGTGACATAAAAAGAATATTGAATGTTGTTCTCGATCCATGATGGAACTAGCAGGCATTTGATAGACTTGTTCCTCATGCCTCATTTCAGTCGTCTGTTAAGGCTGTGTGCACGCGAGCGATACACTTATTCAGATAAGTCTTATGATAATACTATGTAGGCACATTTATACATACAGTTTTGAAACTTTTACAACTAACCGTAAAGCAAAACAAAATGTATTTCCCATGTAAAAACGATCCAAAAAGTACGTAGGTCTATGTGTTTTTGCATGTTTATTTGTTTATAATATATAGCGTGGATTATAATATAATAAACAGAGTGATTTACTCTTTGTCATAGACCATATTTTGAAAAAATGAGCTTGAAAAGTTGTCTGTGGGAGGGTGGTGCTGACGTCACAGGTGAGCGCCTCGAAGGCTCTGTAGTCAGTTTACAACCTAATGTTAGCTTTTCAGTTCTTGCGTTTACATTTAAGATTCAAAAGTGCTCAAAGTTGTATTTTCGTGTGAGGATTATCCGGCTGGACAAAACATATAAGTGTTTGTTGTTTAGTGTTTGAACACAGAGCTTATTATTTACCATCTTCTAAAAGCCTATATGGGAAAATCCTATAGGGATTTTATCGAGGGAACCAGTTTTATGCTAGCAGCCGATTAGCCTACAAGGTGACGTCATAGTTTCTCCACTCTATTCCATAATGCACAGCGCAGCTGAAAATGACAGGCAGTTTAGTCCAAAAATGTGCAGTACTTTTTTCAGTTGCGTCTTTTAGAGTTTGATGTTGTCACCACAAACAAAACACTCCAGTGTTCGTTTGAAAACATCTACAAGCATGTCTTGGTACGCTTGTTTGTTCTGCTTCTGGTGGGTATTCGAGTGTGATTGATCCCCTTCATACATCACTACTGGATCAAAAGCTGAGCTGCTCATGTTTTCATAAGCCCACAGAAAAAAAAATGTACTGAAACAAAGTTACTATATTTTCCTTTTTCATGTTTATTGTGTCAGTAGATATAAGGGATCCAATCATAGCACTTAAACAAAAAAAAAGCAGATTTTCATGTAATGTCCAACTTTAACACAAAATTCCATTTGCAAATTATTTAGCTTACATAATATGATGCATTTCCAAGTGAAACAGGATGTTCAACAAGGGAAGGAAAATAGATAAGCTTCCCTGTACAACAATAGAGTCGTATTTCTGTTGTTCAGCTTTAGAAATATGTCTTTTCTCATTGAAATGAATCAGGGATGAAGTGTAATACCACTCTTGAATCGGCTTTGTAATGACACATTGATATTCCGCATGACATTTGTGCATCCAAAACAAAATCAATTCCAAAGGTTATCACGAAAAATCACTCTGAATCTGCGCTTATCACAACACATTGAGCTGCGCGCGCTATTATCTGTCTCTTTGTGTGCCCGTAGGTGGTCTCTGAACGGCACATTGATTAATCTCAGCACTGATTCCCGTCGGCGACTATCCGGGGGGAATTTGGTCATTAGGAGTCTGGACCGGGCCCAGGATGGAGGAATATACCAGTGCACTGCCTTCAACCCACACGGAGCGATTCTCAGCAGAAGAGCTAGCCTTCAGTTTGCATGTGAGTCACTGACTGTGTGTTAGCATGCTATATTAGCGCTGCAGCCACTCGATACAGGGTGACAGGTGTTAGAGTGGATGCTGCCAATACTGGGCCGGCTCAGAGAAATGAGTTATCAACACCTTAACTGAGCTAATGCAAACATGATTATGGCTCCTGCTGGGAACTTAATGATTTTGAAGACAAATTGTTGTGTTGTTTATTGTACTTATGGCTCAAGCACACATATATTTGTTGTGTGTTTGTACAGATGATGAAACATTAATGACTTTGACTTGTGTTTGATGAAAGTGTACGAGGAAATGTGTGTGAATGTGTAATGCTTAACAACTATGAGTACACCCCTCAAAAATATTGCTTTTAAATTATTATTTTCTCTAGAAGGCTTAGAATATTATATTTGTACATATACATTAGATTAGTCAGTACTAAAGCCAAACCTGGAGCTAATCTAACAAAATAATTTATGAAAAGAGTCTTTTATATATTAGAAAAACAAAAATGTTGAACTAAAATTCAAGAAAAGTAAAAATGCATATCATTTTGTTGAAATTTTGTAATTTTTTTCCCAATATTTTGCATGACTTTCAATGTATTTTTATTTCTAAAGATGTTTGGTGACAAAAGCCTTGGTCACACTGAGATTTCAGCCACAATTTAGTCATCTGAGACAGTCACTGAAGATTCCTGAAATACCTGGCTAAAATCTTTAATCGTTAGTTTGACATGTTCACTGACAGCCGCTTAGTGCCCGTTGTGATCAGATTTTGCCTCCAATGAAGTGTTGGCAGTGTCAGAAGATTTCAGACACTTTTCTGAGTGTCAATCCAAGAACCAATAGGAGTGCAAAATCTGATGACCCAATCCATGCCACAGTTCAAATGACCGCGGGGAAATGTCAAAATTATTTTTTTTTTCTTCCTGGTTTTTATTATTGAGACATGCTGTGTGCAAAATTGCCGCTACAGATTGTTTACGTTTGGTGTGAGGAATCATTTCAGAATGTGGGATAGTGAAAGTGTCACAGGTGGATGATGTCTAACTCTAGGGGAGTTTTCTTCTGTATTTGGTGCATCGTCGTTGTCCTTTAGTCTGACGTTATGATGGCTGGGATCTTGCAGTGTGACATGGGAGCCATTTTCGTGCAGTCTGACATGCTACAATCATTCAGGATTATAAATATTGCACAGTGTGAGCCAGCCTTTAAATGTAATTTTAATAAATCTGTCAATTTAATAAACATGTTTTGTTCAAATGCACCAAAATATTACCCAAGTTTTTAATTGCTTAACATGTATTACAGTTTAATTTAATGGACCTTTTTCATAAAACTGTTATGACGCGTTTAACGGTCATCATAATTATAAATGCTTCAAAGTTTTTAGTATTTTGATTTTTATGAACAATTATAGGCACTTATGTATGTACTATATTATCTTTCTGTCAAATTACAAAAAATTAATTTCTGTTTATGCAAGATGTTTCTGATGCTAAGGGGCTGAGAGTAATTTGACGTTATTCTCTCCTCTGGCTCTTGCCATCAGTCTCACACTATTCTTTTCCTTTTTCTGAAAGTCTTGATAACACCATCATAGAGTTTTTAAATATGATTGTAAAAAAAAGTATTTGTTGTACTTTGCCATTTACTACGCTCAAAGTTTACTCAGCTCCAGAATCTCAAATCGAGAAATGTGAAAAAAGTCTATACATTTTTTAAGTCAAGTTTATTTATAAACTAAATTCGAGAAGTTCACGTGCTTATGATTGTCCACAGCTGGTACTGCATTAGCTAACACATCAGACGATTCCTAAGTCACCATCCTAAGTCAGCGTTTTTATACCTCAGTCATGTATATATCTCCCCTTCCACATTCCTCTTCCCTTTCCCTAGATAGGGCAGCATGGCAGCCCAGTGGTTAACACTGTTGCCTCACAGCATGAACGTCATGCCTTTACCAGGTCAGTCAACGTTTCTGTGAGAGGTTTACATGTTCTCTCCCAATGCTTGCGTGGGTTTTTCTGTAGTTCCCTGGTTTCCTCCCACTTTCCAAAGGCACCATAGATGAGGTCTTAGTCTCAGTATATCTTAGTATATCTCTTTATAGCAATCCCTAATTCATCATTAGCCATAGGTAAGCAGGGGAGTTCTAGAGATCTACCTAAGCTAAAACTTCCCTCTCGCCCAGCAAACGAGAGGGATTCTCAGGCTCGAGGATCTTTTAAGCTCAGGACTCTCTTCTGGGACAGCATGCCAAACAAGCTTTATAATTAATCATCAACTAAATGTGAACTCTTGAAATAAATATTTAAATAAAAACATAAGAATCTAGACAGTTTTTACATACGTTTGTTAGTCTGAATATCAATTATTTCACCCATATTTCAATTTTGTGTTCTTAAAAACATTTGAAATAACTTGATTTAATATGCTTCCAATGTAAAGTTACACAAAAATGGCCAGCATAATTATATTACATATTAATATTTTTACCCTCATACGTCCAACATATATTCAAAAGTAAAAATGTCTTTAAACTGTTTTTTGGCTTTTGACAAATTCAGCTGCAACCCAGCACTGGGAAACTACACTTGCATATACACACACACTCATACACTATGGCCAATTTAGTTAATCCATTTCACCTAGCTCATGTCTCTAGACTGTGGGGGAAACTGGAGCACCCAGAGGAAACCCACGCCAACACGGGGAGAACATACAAACTCCACACAGAAATGTCAACTAGGCCATCTGGGACTCAAACCAGCGACCTTCTTGCTGTGAGGCGACAGTGCTTACCACTGAGCCACTGTGCACGCCCAATAAAAAAACATCCAGTTGCTAATAATCCATTCTCAAAACGATCAAGGAAAATTATATTAAATAGTCTGTTTGCTCTGCTGTCACACCATTTTACAGCAGTGAATAATACTTTTTAATGGACAAACCACGTCAGAAAAACAACAGAGGTCACAATGTGAGCAGTGCAGAAAAAAATGCACACTGCGTCATGTTAAGTGTTACATTAAGCGCTTTAACTCTTTTAGTGTATAGTTTAATGTGGCTTGCCATGTCAAGTGCTTCAACAGATGCATGTGTTATTTAGTGCGTTTTTAGATCAGTGAACACTACATTGTATTACATCTACATTTCATCCTTCTACAGTATGTTTAAAGGTGCGAATATTGTTATTGCAGTTAAACTGTTCACCCTAAATTGAGTATTTCTCGTGTCTTTTTTTCTGTTAACACAAAATATGTTTTGTTTTTGTTTTTTTTTCCTTAAGAACAATAGAAAGTGGCTTCCATATTAGGTAAAAGAAAACAGACCACAGGTTTCCAATATTATTCAAAATACCTGTTTTTGCCTGTATGTTAAACAGAATGAACCACCAACTTATGCAGCATATGTTTTACACAGTGCATGCCCATCCAGCTGCAACCCAGTACTGGGAAAAACTAATTTAGTTTATTCATTTCACCTAAAGCCCATGTCTTTAGAATAAAAACGGAGTGAAACGGAGCACACGGAGGAAACCCACACGAACACGGGGAGAACATGCAAACTTTACACAGAAATGCCAAATGTCTCAGCCGTAACTCAAACCAGTGACCTCCTTGCTGTGAGGCGTCAGTGCTAACCACTGAGCCACTCACTATGTGAGTAAATGATGACAGAGTTAAAAAATTAGTTTTTTTTTTTTTAAACTGTTTTATGGCTTTTAAAAATTCTGCTGCAACCCAGGATTGGGAAACACCCATATACACTTGCATTTACACACACGCTCATACACTATGGCCAGTTTAGTTAATCCAATTCACCTAGCTCATGTCTCTAGACTGTGGGGGAAACTGAAGCACCCGGAGGAAACCCATGCCAACATGGGGAGAACATGCAAACTCCACACGGAGGAAACCCACACGAACACGGGGAGAACATGCAAACTTTACACAGAAATGCCAACTGTCTCAGCCGTGACTCAAACAGTGACCTCCTTGCTGTGAGGCGACAGTGCTAACCACTGAGCCACTCACTATGTGAGTAGATGATGACAGAATTAAAAAATTTTGTTGAATTGTTCCTTTAAAACCAACCCTTATTTTATTGTTTGTATAATTTACTACCAATTATTAGCTTAAAGGATAGCAATCAGAAGTACTTTTAAAAGTAGCATACAGAGTCAAACACAGCACACTTAAATTATATAATTTAACATTTTATCTACTGAGATTTCCAACTTACTTTTTTCTAACATCACATGAATTTTGTTACTTTAGGCCACCCAGAAATATTGAAGAGCACAACTGAAGTATCATTTTCTGGCAAACAATGTCTTGGAAAACTCGAAAAAATGTCCACCTCCACTGAGAATCCCATGAGGCTCCACACAATTGAAAGATTTTGCAATACTTTGGATATCTTCCATGTCATTTCTGTTACTTCTGTTATTTGTGATTTTTATTTATTTATTTTTATTTTTATTTTTTTGCGATAAAATGACTGTAATTCCCAGACAATTTAAATTATATATATTCATTCATTCATTCATTTTCTTGTTGGCTTAGTCTCATTATTAATCCACAGTGGAATGAAACGCCAACTTATCCAGCATATTTTTATGCGGTGGATGCCCTTCCAGCCGCAACCCATCTCTGGGTAACATCCACACACACACACACACACAGACACTCATACACTACGGGCAATTTAGCCTTCCCAATTCACCTGTACCGCATGTCTTTGGACTGTGGGGGAAACTGCAGCACCCGGAGGAAACCCACGCGAATGCAGGGAGAACATGCAAACTCAACACAACTGAGCCGAGGTTCGAACCAGCAACCTTCTTGCTGCGAGGCGACATCACTACCTACTGCGCCACTGCGTCGCCAATTTTATATATACAGTTGAAGTCAGAATCATTAGCCCCCTTAAATTATTAGACCGCTCGTTTATTTTTTCCCCAATTTCTGTTTAACAGAGAGCAGATTTTTTTCAACACATT